TACAACAATACTCCAATCCTATGGAAAGCTAAGAAATATAAAGAGCCAGAGCCTCATATTCACACTGCAGAAAAGTTGTACAATCCCAACTATGTGCATATAACAGTTTCAGTAAAAAAATGAGAGAAAAAAGGAATATTGTCAGGGAAGTTGAAGAAAAAGAGACATGTGAACTTACAGGAGGATCCAAAGGATCCAAACCCACACTAGATAGTGTATATTTTCAAAAATATCTCACTAAATAATTGAATATAAATCTATTTTCTATTTGTTTTCATTGTGATATAATATACATTATATAAAATTATCATTTTAGCCATTTTTAAGTGTACAGTCCAGTGGCATTAGGGATATTCATGCTGTTGTGCAACCATCACTTCTACTCATCCCATTAAACAATTATTTCCTATTCTTCTCTCCCCTCGGTTTCTGGTAACCATCCTTCTTTATATCTCTATGAATCTGACTACTTGGGGTGCCTGAATAAGGGGAGTCACAGAGTATTTGTCCTTTTCTGAATAGCTGATTTCACTTAGTAAAATGTCCTCATGATTCATGTATATTTTACTATGTATCAGAATGTCCTTCCTTTTATAGGGCTGAATAATACTCCACTGCACATATACCACATTCTGTTTATCCATTCATCCATACACTTGGTTTGTTTTGACCTTTTGGCTACTGCAAATAATGCAGCTATGAATGTGGATGTTCAAATACCTGTTTCAGGTCGTGCTTTCAATTATTTTGTGTATATGACCAGAAGTGAAATTGCTGAATCAAATAATAATTGTTTAAATTTTTGAGGAACAGTTACACTGTTTTCCACAGCAGCCACATCATTTGACATTCCCACCAGCAATGCACAAAGATTCCAATTTTGCACATTCACGCCAACATCTGTTATCTGGTTTCTGGTTAGTTTTTTGTTTGTTTGGTAACAGCAGTCTTAATGAATGTGAAGTGGTATGTTTTTGTGGTTTTGATTTACACTTCCCTAATGATTAATGATATTGAGCATCTTTTCATGCACTTATTAACCACTGTATATCCTCTTTGGAGAAATATTTATTCAACTCCTTTGCCCATATTTGAATTGGATTGTTTGTATTTTTACTGTTAAGTTTTAGAAATTCTTTATATACTCTAGATATAGAGTATATAAATAGATATTAAATATATCTATTTTTCTTAGATCAGATGAGATCAGCCACATTCAGGGTGGTAAGGCCATAGACTAAATATATCTATTTTTTTTATTTTTTAAAATATTTTATTTATTTTTAGAGAGGGGAAGGGAAGAAGAGTGGGAGAGAAACATCAATGTGTGGTTGCCTCTCATGTGTCTCCTACTGGGGACCTGGTCTGCAACCCAGGTATGTGCCCTGACTGGGAATCGAACCAGCAACCCTTTGCTTCACAGGCTCGCACTCAATCCACTGAGCCACACCAGCCAGGGCTGATATATATATTTTTAAAGAAAACACTAATAAGAAAGTTGCTACCGAAATGACACCTTAAATACAGTTAAGAGAAATGTAGGTTAAATTATCTTGAACGGACCATTTATGATTAGGAGTAGTCTGAAAATATAATCCTTTCAAATATCAATTCCAAGGTCAAATTATTTTGAAGTCAAAAGTCTTTCCCCAAATAAACTCTCTTGTTTTTTTTCAGAAAGCTCACATGGGTATTCAAAACCGTTTACAAAATTTATTATTGATAACATTAATAAGAAACTAACATTCACATGATTTACATGAAATACTCAATGATACCCACACTTGTCAGTGTTTCAGAGTCACCACAATGCACACCTTGCGGCAATACCACTCATACTCCAATTTCTGTGAATGCTATGCCATGGAGCACAGGGGAGCACCCTCGTATACATAGACCACCCTGTAAATGGCAGTCCCAGGAGTTCCATGTAACACTGCAGCCCTATGGCATTCAAGTACTTAATTTTTATTACTATCGCTGACATAACTTGTAAAGATAAAAAGGCAAAGAATATCATTATGAAAGTGCACTTCTGGAATTCAACTCAATGACTCCCTAAGTTCTAAACTGATTTATTCATTCTTATCCAAATAAGTATTCATTCCTAGTTTTCCAAATGGTAGTAGTTTTACTACTTAAGTAGATAGCACTGTTGTCACTCTCTCTCAGCGTCCAATCCTCCTTTTTTGGTAATGTCTCAATTTCCCATTAGGCTACTACCTCTCCCCATTCCCAGTCCCTGAGTTTCAAGTAGCTCTAGAGATAAGCACAGGCTCTAAATTTGGACAATTTACAATTGCCAAGTGCTGGAAGCAACCTAAGTGCCCATCAGTAAATGAGTTGATCAAAAAACTATGGTACAGCCCTGGCTGGTGTGGCTCAGTGGATTGAGCACCAGCCTGAGAACCAAAGGGTTGCCAGTTCGATACCCTGTCAGGGCACATACCTAAGGGTTGCAGGCCAGGTCCCCAGTTGGGGATGCATGAGAAGCAACCACATATTGATGTTTCTCTCTCCCTTCTCCTCTTTCTCTCTCCCTTCCCCTCTCTCTAAAAGTAAGTAAATACAATCTTTAAAAAAACAAAACAAAACTATGTACATTTACACAATGGAATACTACACAACAGAAAGAAAAAAGGAGCTCCTACCCTTCACAACACCATGAATGGAACTGGACAGCATTATGCTAAGTGAAATAGGCTAGGCAGTGAAAGATAAATATAATATCATCTCACCTATAAGTGGAACCTAATCAATAAAACAAACAACCAAACAAAATATAATCAGAGACTCATTGAAATAAAGAACAAACTGACAGTAACCAGAGGGGAGGAGGGAAAGCAGTAACAGGGAAAGTAGGGGAGGGGTCATCAAGGAACATGTATAAAGGATCCAAGGTCAAAGACAACCAGGGTATGGGGAGGGGAGGGAAGGACTGAGGGTGAGAGGTGAGGGTGGGTGGGGTGGGGGAAAGTGGTGGCAGGAAAATGGAGACAACTGTAACTAAACAACAATTTAAAACAAAAAAAAGGAAAGGAATGGTACACAAAATAAGACAGTAAGATGCAGTCCCTGGAACTTTTGCTGGATTTTTAGTAAAGTAGTGTTTTTATCATTGCTAAGCTATTGGTAACCACTTCTGCCATCTCATAAGAAGGGCTAATCAGAGAATGAAGCCTTCACACACACACAACAAAAACAGCAGAGCACAGAGACAAACTTAAGACTGTCCTGATGATAACAATATCTTATATATATAAGTCCTTTCCCTCAATTTCTAGTACATAAGCCAATAAACATTTTCCCCTAGCTTTTTAGGGGCTCTCTGTCACTTCCTAGCCCTAATACGTATGGTCTGACATATTATTAGTCTTATCCCCTTATCCTTTTTTAAATTTTATTTTTTACTGAATTTATTGGGGTGACATTGGTTAATAAAATTATATAGATTTCAGGTATGCAATTCTACAATACATCATCTGTATACTGTATTGTGTTTACTACCCCAAGTCAAGTCTCCTTCCTCATCCTTTAAGTGTTGTCAGTGATAATTTTGATAACTCCTGAAGGTCTGTCTGCATTATAAGAAGCTTATAATGATAAATACATTAATATATAAAGGTTGACTCATTGGCCCCACAATGATTACTCTTATAAAGTATACTCTTACAAAAAATGCAAAATTGGTAATATATTAAGACATGGAAAATCTGCCAACCAGAATGTAAACATGAACTTACAAAAAGACACAAGAAAAAATTCCATTTTATTAAACCTCAGTTAAAATATCCCTGCCTAGTAAGAAACTGTATATATGATGTCATTATAGTTAGTAGAATAGACGTGAACAGAAAAAGGAGTGCTGTGAGAAGTTTTAACATAAAAGAAATGCAACATAAAACAGGAATTTTTCATTCGTTTTTTCCAATGGCACAAAATATCCATCTTACTTAGATTTAGAGTTTATATAAAATATACGTGCATTAAGTTTCCTACAGCACTGTAATTACCACATACTTGTGGCTCAAAATGACAAGAATTTCTTTTCTCACAAGTTCTGGTGGCCAGAAATCTGAAATTAGTTTCACCAGGCTGAATCAAGGTGAGGGCGGCATAAACACTCCCTCTGGAGTTTCTAAAATCAAATCTAGAAGCTTCTTTCAGTCAGTGGCTACCAGTATTCTTTGGCTTACAGGTACAACACTCTAATCTCTGCATCCTTAGCCACTTTGCCATCTGCTCTTCTGTGTACGTAAAATGTCCTTCTACCTCTCTCACAAGGATATTTGGGATTGTACAGGGTCCAGCACAAAGAATACCCCTTTTTTATTACAAAATCATAATCATGCAATTCTGTAACATAACAATATCACTCTCAAGCACACCATATGATTTTTTAGGTGAAATGTTCAAATTGCTGTCTATCTCACGCGAGACATTCATGTACCCTACTAACCACACTCAAGCAAGCCTTACTTCTGCTGGACCCTGTCTCTAGGGGCTACCCAGATAATCCAGAATAATCTCCCATCTCAAGATCCTTAATTTACTAAAACCTGCAAAGACTCTGCTATAAGGTGACATTTACAGGTTCCATGAATTATGATATATATATATATATATATATATATATATATATATAAAATATATATATATATTTTATGGGACCATTTTGTCAGCACACTACCAATTTCATGTCATTTTAATAACTATATATCCTTAAAAGGCTAAAAATATGGAAGCTAGATGTATCTTATATTCTCAAATTAAAATTTTTCAACAAGTTCTCTACTCATATTAGTATCAACACAAAAAGCTCCAAAAATGTCCTATATAAAATAAAAAGGGAACATTAAGACTCTAGTAAGAAAATATCTAGTAAGTATAGCTTTAAGAAGTTATTCACTTTAACTAAATTTAAATCTTATTCTTTGAAATCAAGAGCTATTATGACAATCCACTTTGTTACAAATTTAAAAATTAACATAAGACTTTACCTCCAGATCCTAACTGTTTATAGAATCTATATTCCAAATGTAGCTGTGGTGCTCTGGATTTCATGGGTTCCTAATTAAAAAACAAACAACAACAAGTTATTAAAAGATCATTAGGCCCCAATTCCAAATGTTATAAATCTAGGTGCCAGCTCTTACATAATGTAATATTTTACTAGGCATCTTTGACTTTCTAAGGTTAGATCAACTATACATTTATTTCAATGTAAAATAAATTAATGTCATAAACATACACAAGTTTAAGTAGCTATTAGGTCAATCATTAGAGAAATTTTTATGTTTGACTCTTTGACCCTGCAAAAAAAATCTACTCCGAACATTCCTGACTAGGGAAATGGTGACTCTTTCTTATTCCCAGCTTCTCTGAACTATGTACTTATTATGTAAAAGTTCTAAGTTAAAGAGAAGTCATAGAAAAGTAAAAAAAAAAAACATAAAGACAATGTAAATTTCAATGGTAACAACAGTATATTTTTTAAAAATTTTAGTTGGGATATAAAAGCAGTTCATAAGCATTAGGTCACAGAACATTCTGAATTGTATATACCCCACAACTATCACCTCAAAAAAACTTTAGAACATTTCTATCAGCCTTCCCTCAGAGATAAGCCCTTTTTGAATTCTCTCACCTTTGAATGTTTTGTTTGTTTTGTAGTTCATATAAATGACATTATATAGTATATGTTTTATATGTACATGTTTGGCTTTTTTCATTCAACATAATGTTTTTGAGTTTGACATATAGATAGAAACACATATACATATACAAACACAATATAAACAGAAGCAAAAAAGATTATAGATATAAGAAATAAACAATAAATGTGTTAAAATATCTGTATGAAACACAAACTATAAAAGGATAACAGAAAATTAGAACAAGATCCGACAGAAAGGTATGACAAAGTAATAAAATTTAAACAAAATCAAAAGAACTTCAAGAAATTAAAAAAACAAATAAATAACCAAAATTTAAAACTCAGTTTGCCATCAGATTAACACAAAAGAATAGAAAATCTGGACACTGGAAGATAGACAGAAAAATGTCTACAAATTAAAAAATTATGTAGAATGCATCTATATAAGTAATACAGAATGTATTATGAAGGAAAGAAAACAGAAAAAAGATGAGTGCTTTCTTAAGAGGGTCTAATATGCATTTGATAAGAGTCTCAGGAGGGAAGGAGGCAGGAAAGTGAGCAGAAACAATACATGAAAAATAATTTCTATATATATTCAAGACTTAATGAAAGAAAAACCACAGACTTATGAAGAATGTGAATCCCATACAAAATTAACTAAAGTAAAATTTTATATCAACATGCATCATAATAAAACTATGACCAACAACATAAACTTCAGGCAAGGAACTAGTAAAATCCCAATGGAACAACTGTAATCATAAGATTATTATTAAAGCAAACAATCAGCTTAGTCCTTAGGAAGCAGCTAAGAGTAGTAGAGTAGAGTAGTTAGAAGCACAGACACTGAAACAAATTGTTCTGGGTTTGAATACAAAATTCACTTGACTCATTGGGGATATGACTTTGGCAAATTATTCAACGTTTCTATACTTTTTAATGCCCTCAACTATAAAAGACGTAAAGGTTATCTTTTTTACACATATAACTACATAAATATATTTACAGTATACAGTATATTTATATAACTACATAAAACATATTAATATATAAATATATATAATAAACAATTATGGTAATAATGATATGGCATGAAAATAAACTAAAAAAGACATACCCATATATCTCATATATGAACATATATATGACTTAAAACAGTACCTTCCACATAATACTATATTAACTATAATTCTTCAGTTAACAATATAAAAGTATACAACCACAAGATGTAATAAAAGATGCCCACTTATGCAATCACAAATGAAATCAAATACGTAACTTATTTAATCACTAATATACCCTAGATCAGGGGTGTCAAACTCATTTTCACTGGGGAGGCCACATCAGCCTTACAGTTGCCTTCAAAGGGCTGAATGTAATTTTAGGTCTGTTTAAATGTAACTACTCCTCAACTAGGGGCAAGGAGCTCAGCAAGAAACAAGGTGCGGGGCCGAATAAAACAAGGTGGAGGGCTGGATTTGGTCTGCGGGCCTTGTGTTTGCCACCTGTGCCCTAAATTAATACAGAAACCAGATATAACTTAATTTAGTCAATTTAACTTGATTCTAATACTTTACTAGCAGGAAAACTTTATTATACCACTATGTAACAAAAGTCAACTCACCAAAGGATAACATTCTCAACATTAATAAAATGCAGTTTATCATATAGATGCAAACAAGATATGAAGGTGATGGCTAAGGTCAAATTTAAAAAACCAGCCTGAAACAAACTGTCAATCTGTACTAGGGTAACTAACATTTTCAATTGATTACTTTTAAGGCAGGTTGTGAACAAAACCTAGTTTATGTTTGGTACTTAGTACACTAAGTACTGCCAATATATTTTTGGATGAATTTCAGGTAAACAGGACTCTAGACCTCAATTCAACCTCAAAATACTAGGCATATAAAAGTTTCCCAGTCACCCCAAAGAACAATGAATAACCACAATTACTTATATGTAGTACTGATCACTGTGCTTTTAAAAAGGAAAACAGAGGAAAAATGTAAAAAAAAAAACCAAGAAAAATAATTAAGGGGATACTGATATAGAAGGAACATCAACTAAAAAGATGATATGTGTAAACCTAATAAGGATGAACAATGGCATGATAAATTTTACTAAGGCATCAATGGTGTCAATAGTGTCAAAATAAGCTGCAGATCTGAAAATAACAGGACCTAAAGGGAACCACTTAATGACTGAAATAAACAAACGAAGGTCAGCCTAGTGCTGCGGCTCCTGTTTTGACACAATGGTTTATCTGCCTTAACATATCAGTAAAATATCATTCACATGCTCCAGTGAGTAGATCTGCTCACTACAGGGTGCTGTATCAATAACATAGCACACGGATGTTGCTACACTCTAGTCTTTTTTTCTATTTTTTTATTATCTAACCATTTTTATTGTTATTCTACTACAGTTTTCCCAATTTTTTTCCTTTTCCCATCCTCCGCCCATCCCATCCCCTGCTCCCACAGTAGATTCCCACACTGTTGTCCATATCCATGGGTTATTCATACATGCTCTTTGTCTAGTCCCTTCACTTTCTTTCCACCATTAACCCCCTTCTTCTTCCCCTTCGGTCACTTTCAGTCTATTCCATGTTTCCATGTCTGTGGTTCTATTTTGTTCATTAGTTTATTTCGTTCATTAGATTCCTCTTAGAGGTGATATCATATGATATTTGTCTTTCACTGATTGGCTTAGTTCACTAAGCATAATATTCTCCAGTTCCATCCACGCTGTCACAAAAGGTAGAGTTTTCTTTCTGCTGCATAGTATTCCATTGTGCAAATGTACCAGTTTTTTGATCCACTCACTCAATGAGGAGCACAAAGCTGGTTCCAGCACTTGGCTATTGTATATAGCACTGCTATGAACACAGGGGTGCCTAAGTTCTTTTGAACTGATGATTTGGGGTTCTTAGGGTACATTTCCAGCAGTAGTATCACTGGGTCAAAAGGCAATACCATTTTTAATTTTTTAAGAAAATTCCATACTACCTTCCAAAGTGATGGCACCAGTCTGCATTCCTACAACAGTGCACTAGGGTCCCCTTTTCTCTGCATCCTTACCAGCACTTACTTGTTGATTTATTAATGATGGCCATTCTGACAGATATGAGGTGATATCTCACTGTAGTTTTAATTTGCATGCCTCTGATGGCTAGTGATGTTAAGCATCTTTTCAAACATCTATGGGCCATCTGTGTGTGTTCCTTGGAGAAGTGTCTATTCAGGACCTTTGTCCATTTTTTAATTGGACTATTTGTCTTCCTGGTGTTTAGTTGTATAGGTTCTTTATACATTTTCGAAATTAAACACTTGTCCAATATTTCACTGGCAAATATGTTTTCCCATGTGGTCAGTTCCCTTTTCATTTTGATTATTTCTTTAGCCTTACAGAAGCTTCTTAGTTCAATGTAGTCCCATTTGTTTATTTTTTTCCTCGTTTCCCTTGGCCTAGGAGATAGTTCAGCAAAAATATTACTACATGGGATATCATAAATTTTCCTGCCTACATTCTCCTCTAAGACTTTTATGATATCATGACTTATACTTAGTCCTTTATCAACTTTGAGTTTATTCTGGTGCATGGTGTAAGTTCATGATCTAGTTTCTTTTTTTTTTTTTTTTTTTTTTTTTTTTGGTATGTACCAGTCTAGTTCTCCCAACATTATTTACTGAAAAGGCTATCTTTTCTCCACTGTATGCTCATGATCCCTTTGTCAAATATTAATTGATCATAGAGACCTTGCTTTATTTCTGGTTTCTCTATTCTGTTCCAATGATTTATGTGTCTGTTTTTATGCCAATACCAAACTGTCTTGATTATAGTAGTCTTGCAATATAGTTTGATGTCAAGTATTGTGATCCTTCCTACTTTTTTCTTTCTCAAGATTGCTGAGGCTATTGGGAGTCTTTTTTTGGTTCCATAAAATTTTTTGAAGTATTTGTTGAAGATCTGTGAAATATAGCATTGGTATCTTAATAGGAATTTCACTGACTCTATAGATTGTTTTGGGTGGTGTGTACATTTTAATAATGTTACTACTTCAAATATATGACCACAAGTATACACTTCCACTTACTGTATCTTCCTTAATTTCTTTCCTCAATTTTCTATAGTTTTCCAAGTACAGGTATTTTACTCCTTGGGTAAATTTATTCCTAGGTATTTTTTCTTGTCGCTATAGTAAGTGGGATTTTTTCCCCAAGTTTCTCTTTCTGGTATTTCACTGTTGCGAAAAAATGCCATCTATCTCTGAATATTGACTTTGAATACCACTATTTTGCCCAATTCACTTATTAGATTATTTTTTGGGTGGAGTCTATAGGATTTCCTATGTACACTATCATGTCGTCTGTGAATGATGACAGTTTTACTTCCTCTTTTCTGGTTC